CCGTGGTTCGTGTCAGCAACCTCCCCAGAACTCACCCAGAAATTCGCCAAGTGTTAACCCACGGCCGGACCTACGGTCCGTAGGTCAGGTCACGGATCGGGTTATGTCTGGATCGATGCCCCTACCGCTTCATTCTTGAGTTGACCACGACGTCATTCGATCCACGGTCCGTAGGTGAGGGTAGCAGCCAGTTAGCTGAAAATTGTGATGGGTCAACTTCAGATGGTCATAATTTTAGCAAAAAGGAATTATGTGTCCCATGACCTAATGATGATAGATAATTGAATTCTTTCCAACGCCACAGTTTGCTAAATTGACCTCCGAGTGAAAAGTTATGCTCGTTTTAGTAGAAGCCTGTCGGGCAGACTCGACCGACGACTTCCAATCGACGGACCGTCGATTGACCTACGGCCCGTCATCCGTCCGTCGGTCACTCCGAAGCAATTAAGTCAGGGGTCTTTTTGGTCTTTTCCTATTTCGTTTACCCCTAAGGTACGTCGTTTAGACCCTAAATCATGAGGTTTTAGTCAGTTTAAGCTAGAAACATAACTAGAACCTACCTAAGTCAAATCATTAATCAAAACTTAGAAAAATTAGAAGCAAGAGGAGAAAAGGTCAAGAACCCTAGTTCAAGAACGCAAACAAGGTTTCTCAGTTCAGCCCCAGAAATGAAAGATTTCTCCGTGGAATTCGTCACCAGGTATGTGGGATTTTACTAGTGGGTTCCTTTTCGCCCATTAGGTCCCTAAGAATTCAGTCAGTTTCTTGATTCCCTTATTATGAATAGACCTTAGGGTTTCTAGAATTCAACAAATCATCATGAATTAGTTATTTAAATGTTCCAAATCAGATTATCATGTTATTTCTCAGTTTATTGCATGAATTTCAAACCCTAGCTATTATTTCTTTAGTTCTTGAATTACACATGCTAGGTCAGATATCTCAGTTATTCAGTTATACATCCTCAGTTATTAATGCATCATTATCAGATTAATTGTTGCATTCTCATTTTGCATGTTCAGTTTTGAGCTATCCAGTATTTACAGAATTCAGTCATAATGTGTTAATCACTTAATTATTGGGAGTAGCATAATACTGAGTTGGACTAGGGTTCAGCGTACCCATATAGTCCCAGAACTACGAGCCACGTAGGTGTAAGTCCCTCTGTGGGCAACATTAGTTTAGTGATCACGCCAGCATGCCTCTATACTTGGCAGGGTATATTGGGTCCTCTCGATAAGGGTATACATCGACTCCACATTTAGCTCATGTGGTTTTATGTCGGTTATTAGTAGCTCCCACAGTTCAGTCAGACTCTATTGCATTGACCATATTTCAGTACAGTCAGTATTCAGTCTCAGCATGTTATAAATTTGGTCATTGCATCAGTTAGCTCAGTATTCAGTATCTATATCATGTTCAGATTTATTGCTTTATTGCTTTGTTTAGTTATATGTTATTTCAGCTTTACTCTATTGCATGCTCAGTACCTTTCAAGTACTACGCATACGTGCGCTACATCTTCTCGTGATGTAGGTTCAGGTTCTCAGCATCCAGATCACGCTTAGATCGGTTCCCGATCTCAGTTCAGCAGATCAGTGGTGAGTCCTCATTCTTCGAGGACTAGTCATGTTTATCTTTATTTTTTTAGTCTTTAGTTTCAGTTTTGCTAGACTAGTTGGGGCATGTCCCAACATTTCTAGTCAGTTTAGAGGCTTATTTCAGACATAGTTAGATTCAGCTTAGTATTGAGTTAATATCTTCTTTGTATTAAACTCATCAGTTTTCATTTTCTCAGTTATAGTATATGGGTATTCCCCATCTTTTCATTTTATTTATGATTTAGCTTAGCATCAGTTTATTTTTTTAGTATGCTCATGATATGCCAGTAGGGTTAGCTTGGGATCACTTGTGGTCCTAGGCCCGTGTCCGCGCCTCGGGGGTAGCTCGGGGCGTGACATAGGCGATGATTTGAGCCTTCACTTTATCGTTTAACGGTACGTTAACTCTCTTCATTCTACCATTTGCAGACAATTTTTTTTCTTCAATTTTTTTATCGAACTATATTTGACTGATTGATATTTTTATCATTGGCCCGTGGTATGACCACCAGTTTAAAAACCAATTTGGAATGGGGTTAGCAATATCTTTTGCACATACTTTAATGAACCAAGTATGCTTGTGTCTCTCTGTTGTTATAATAGAGTACTTATTAATAAGCCTGAATAAATCCCAACAATATAAATTTCATAGAGACTTTGTTAAGGCTAAACTGCTTTTCTTCATCGAGGAAATTCCCCAATCTTCATAGAAATGATTTGTTCAATATCATTTTTTGAGAAGTTATAAATATTCTCATAGTATTATAACCTGAAAAGTACTGAAAATTCAACACCCAGTGCTTATCAGGATTTTCATATATGACCGAGATTTGTATGACTCCCGTGAAATAAAGTCTTGAGTAAATTACCGTTGGATATCTTCCATGGTTTCTTCTTTTCTTTTGTATCTCAGAATTTTCTAAGAGGAATATCATTTCTCTTTTTTCTACTTTTCATATGATTTGATATCATCTACATCATATTTAGCTATTGAGGCAAAGGAATTACTTTGCTTTTGTGATAAATATGCCTGTAGTTAGACATATAGTGGATTGTTTTCCGGAATATCTTTCAGATGTATTGATGAAGCTGCTCTTGAGCTTTTGAGCTTAATTAATAAACTCATTCTCCTTTCTGTATAATTGGAGTATTGGATGAAGATCCGTATGACAATCTCAATGAACTTGGGGAGTATCTTCCCCTTCTCGTGGGTTATTTCCCTTTCCTCGACCTTTAGTTTACCCAAGGGGGTTCTATCCTACAAACAAAACATTGAGATTTATTCCTAATAAGCGTCATAATAAGTATTATTTCTTCCATTGATAGGAAAGGTCCATCAACTATTCCATTATAATTTTCCAGCGATTAGTTTTCTTTCATGTTCGATTGAGAGGAAAGAACCTTTATATTGTAATAATCTTTTTTTCTGTAAAGAAAAGAGAGATGGGAATATATATCATCTCTGAGTTGCTAATACTGTTATTCATTTTGAAGATATTCTCTAGATAGGAAGTCTGGGAGAGAGTTATACGTCCTTTTCTTATATAGGATTTCAAAATCAAAAGGGGCTAGCTGTGCTTGCCATCTGGCAAATTATTATTTGAAGCATCATGCTTAAAATCATTATCAAACATATATTTGACTGATTGAGCATCAGTGTTAACAAGAAACTTTTGATTATATAAATCATCTTGAAATTTTAAAACATATTTAACGTGGTTAACATTTCATGAGCCACTGTAGCATATTTTTTCTGAGCATCGTTCCATTTTCCTGAATGAAATCGAATTAAATACTTAGTTTTATCATGAGGATTGATTTGCTTTAGATTTAATCCATAACCTATATTAGACGAATCAGTCTCGACTATCTTTTGCCAAGTAGGGTTAGCAAGAGTTAAACACGGCAAAGATTTAACACGAAGTTTAATATTTTTTACTAAGTTGGTGAGACTATCAGTCCCATGGAGTTTATGATTTTTCTTTAACCTGTCGTATAACGGGGCTACATCACGAGATAGATTCTTATAAAAAGGGGAAATATAATTTAAACTTCCCAAGAATCTCTGCAGTTGTGTCCTATCTGTAATAACATCAGGAAATTTTGAAGCAAAATCAATTGATCGTTGAATTGGGGTAACCTTCCACTGGCAAATAAGATGTCCTAAAAATCTGACTTCAGTTTGAAAATAAACTCAGTTTTGGTTTAGAAATTACCAAACCGTTTTGTATAACAATTTTCTGAAAATGTCTAGATGTTTTATGTGCATTTCAACAGTCTTTTGAATAAACTAAGATATTATCAATATAGACAATGATAAAATCCAAATATGAGTTTAAAAATATCATTCATAATTTTCTGGAATTCAGAAGTAGCATTTTTCAACCAAAATGGCATAACATTCCATTCGTATTGTCCAAATGGAACATTAAAGGCAGTTCTATAAGAGTGCTCTTTAAATATTTGAATCTGCCAATAACCTGATTTTAAATCAAATTTAGAAAATATATTGGCGTCGTATAATCTTGAAAGCAAATCCCTTTTGTTTGGAATATGATACCAAATCCATTTCAAATATTTGTTTAAAGGCTTATAATTTATTACCAACCTGGGAACTCCACGTTCTTTTTCAGCTGCATTATTGACATAAAATGTAGTGCCATGACCAAGGAGATTTTGAAGGTTTTATCAAACCCTTTTGTAATAAACTATCAATTTCCGTTTTGCAGAATTCAACCAATTCAGCATTCATTTGACAAGGACGAGATTTTGTAGGTATATCATCCTCAGAGAAAGTATCTTCATATGGAAGAGTAACAATATGCTTTTTTCGATTCCAAAAAGCACTAGAATGATCGGCACAAATATCAATGGCCATCTGTTCAGATATTAATTTAATCTTTTCTTGTACTTTAGTTGATCTTAAAGTATCAAATATATTCATGCTAAATAATTCAAGTTGTAAGGAATCCACATGCTTTTGTTTCATATTAATTAGAGCATTAATATCATGAGAAATAGGATCAGTAACAAAAGTATAACTAATGTCTTGGTCTTTGTAAGTAGCAGAAAAACCTTTAGCATTTATGCTGGTAAAAGGATAGAGAGCATTTATGAATGGGGTGCCAAGTATAATCGGTGGGTATAACTGATTTTTAACCAGGAAAAAGAACTGTGGAACGTAAACTTTATTCTGGCAAATGCGTTTATTAGGCAATTTATACTTTATATCTAAAGCATGCCCTGAACCCAATCTTACCATATGCGTGGTTTTTCTCAAAATACTTAGTAGGTACAAACCCTTTCTGAATACAACTAACATCAGCTCCACTATCTATCATAGCAATATCAGTTATGGAGAAAGTATTATCAATTAGTATGGTACATTTAATATACCATTTATGAGCCTGTAACAACCTGCATCATTCCTAAAAACATATTTTGTTTAGGATCACAATTAATAGGTTTTGCAAGAGTATTTTCTTCAACAATATTTTTACCTTTGTTGTTAGTGGACTCAATCTGAGTAAGACGGTGATCACAAATAATCTTATTTTGTTTAAGAGATTTAATCTCTTGTTTCAGCTGTTTGATTTCTCCCTTTAAGTCATCAAAAGAAGTATCACGAATAATAACATGCTGATTAGAAAGTCTATTATTGACTTCAGATAAAGAATAAGGTGCAGAATATTCAAACTCATTTTTCAATTTTTCAACAACATTAGATGAGCTAGCCTTATTATTAGCAGCAAGATGAATAATCCTTTCACGCAACGTGTTATCAGTAACTTCTTTTAAAATTTCTATCACGTTATCAGAAGTAATAGTATTAATATTCATATCTTCAAATTAAGATTGTAATTTATAAAATTCATCATGTTCACAAGAGCAAATATCACCTCTACATTTACAAGAATCTATAGTTGCTGACTTAGTATTACAAGATGTTTCAGGTTTATTAGTTTCAGATCCTGATTCAGAATAATCGTCATCATCATAATCAGACTCAGAATCAGAGGTGTACAAGAAACTATAGACCTTATCGTGCAAGTCTTCCTCTAACTCAAGAGTTTTAAGCTTTCCAAGCCTACAATCTAGTGCTATATGCCCGAATTTTCCACATTTGTAACACTTATGCGAGATCTCGCCTAGATCTATTCTTGGTAAATCTATTAGATTTACGATGAGTCCTTCGCTCTTCTCGTTCTTCTCTAGACCTTCGCCTAGATCTTCTTTCCTATGAGGTTTATCTGGATTAGAGTCTCTAGATTCTCTAGGTTTAGTCTGTTTTCCTGAATCTGATAAACCAAATTGAACGCAAAAATCTCCTAACTGAGAGATCTTTCTCTAAGCTTATCAATCTTAAGCTGCCTAGAGAGTTTTAATTCATTGCACAAATTAATACCTTCTTGGGTGCAAGCTCCTATTAATTTTCCATAAGTACAATTGCCATAAGGATTAGTTCCTCGCGAATTCGTTAGAGTTTTTTTTAACTCTCTCGGCAAATAAAGGAGGTAAGTAGTCTATGAATTTAGCTTTCCAGTGTTCAGGACCATTTTCGGGTAGTTCTATTACCCGACTTAGATAGGTGTCCTTATACCACCTGAATTCTCCTAAATGCCTACATTGAAGACCATTTAGCAAAGAACGAACAACCTCATATTGATTGGTAAATTTACCATTGAAATGTTTGAGAATAGTCAAGACTAGGGTATAAACAACGTCTTCTCTATTTTTTACTAAGGCAAATCCTAGGTTATCAATACCTTCATTAGCAGCTTTAGCATTGATTACAGCGGCTTTTGCCTCCGTGCTCATATAATTATCCCACCAGCCTCTAAGTTGGCCAGTAAAACTTGCAATTATCATCTTGCAAATAGTTCTATCAGTGTTATTAACACTCTTGCAAATAGTAGCATACATAAGCATTCTATGAACAAGTATAGTTAATTGCCTATCAGTCAAACCGTCGAGATTCCATTCATAAATCTCACTTCCGCTATAAGAAGTATTAGTTTGGTTCCAATCACGTTCTTCTATCAGAACGTCTTGAGGAGTTGGAAGGGGATAATAATACGTTTGCATACTAGGTTGATGAGCATACTTAGTATTACCACTATTCTTTTTGGGATAACCACGAAGTTTATTAATTTCTAATTCAACTTGATTTTTAAAAATCAAAGGTGGTTTCCATTTCATCTGCAAAATCTTCAGATAAACTGATGGGTTTTGCCCAAATTGTGAAAACTTTTTATCAAGAAGATTTTCAAGATCAAAGAGTGATTTAAAGATAAAATCCTGAATCTCAGGAGGTCTCTGAATAGGCACATCAGGTTGTTTAGACGAAGAAGCCTGCTCAGGAAGTTTTAAATCATTTTTAATCTGACCAATTAGAATTGTCAGATCGTCCAATTTTTTTATCAAGAGAACTAATATGTTCTCCCAGAACTTTCACATAAAGACCTAAATAGTTGTTTTGAGAAATAAGATTATTAATCTCGTTAATACTTATTGTAGCCACATCATTTTCAACGAATTTTTGGAAAGCAGTGAAAGTAATACCTGTATTATTAGGAAGTATAAAAGGTGCCTGAGGTGGATAAATATCTTTAATAATATTATGTGATTCATCTTTATAAGACGGTGCAAGTACTTTAATGAATAAAGGTAAATAAGTGGTTATAAACCAAGGTACGAAGAACATAATATGATTATGCAAAGCATAAGTTTCATAAAATTCTTGTGAAATATTATGCAGATCTTCTGTGCTATAAGTGTCAAAAAACCAAGTTTTAAACTGGCTCCATTTATCACTTGCAAATTCGTTTTGAATATACTTTCTTGCCAATGAACCTAGACTAAAATCGATTTGGTGTACATTCATCATTAAGTATCATTAAGATTGAAATCCATTTCGGATGCAGAAGGAATATCCTTATCAGAAATATCAGATGATTTATCAATTGTTTGAACAACATTTAATCGAGGATTACTTTTTATTTTATTTTTATCAGCAGATATGACCGAAGGTAAAGTATGTAAAGAAGCAGTATGATTTCGAGCTGGACCATAACTAGGGTCAATTGGCGAGATGTGTTGGATGACAAGTAATCTTCTATCAGAAGAGAAATAATGCCTATTATAAGGAACACTTTTTTCATCAAATTGAATACAAATCTTTCCATCAGCATTTTGAGTAATATGAGAATATTCAGAATTAGTGACAGCATCAGTCATTTGTTTTGGAGGTATAACAGAGTCTAAAGTCCAAGTAGTAGGAAAATTAATTTTTTCCCATTTTATGGGTCTTCTAGTGGTGACCTTAGACTTGGCGAAATTAGTTCCACTAAAATAGTTTGATCAGATGTATCATATAATTTACATCTAGGATTCAAAGTAGCAAGTAATTTGAAATAGATTCTATAAGATAAACAAATTAATTCAGATCCAAGTGCATAACTATAACCATGCGTCTTAAAATTCAAAGTTAAAACATCTAATATATTAGAATCAGTCAAAGATAACTGCAAATATGGCTGAGTATTAAAATAAACTGGACCATACGCCACCGTGGATTCAATCTAACCCATCAAAGATTGTCTAAAATTCAAATTTCTCGCATCGCGAAGAGCAACTAAAAATGTCTCAGGTAACCCTTTAAGAGTTAGGGGTTTGAAAGCAATTTGAACTATGCGAATATGCAAGAACTTGTATTGATTCTTATAAATATCAATATCGCGTTTATTCAACAAACGAATAGTCCGTTCAGTCGAATTTAACGCTAGAGATTGCTCAGTAGTTTTTATTAACTATTTATTAGAGATCTTATCAAACAAACCATAATCATAAATGGTTTTTATATCAATTTTCGAAATAGTCCATTTGTTTAACAAATCAATGTTTTGAGGTATATCTATCTCTTCCAGTCGGGTACTTTTAGCACTAGTATCTCCTAGATCCATGATCAAGAGAATATATCTATGCCCAAATACTTCACATCAATCTCATATTTACCATGAAAGTTCCTAGGCTCTGATACCAACGAAATCAGGATCTCAGAGGACGGGCGGTAATCCGCGCGGTCATCTTCAATCTAACTTGTTAACATCCGAATTCAAGGAATAAATCCAAATCGAAATATATATAATTTTTTATATAGTTTAATGACTGTATGGAAGGATCTAATCCTTTTACCCAAGCAAAGGGTCTGTCGAGATTCAAATACGTATTGTTAGTGAGCCCATGTGTCTAGCAGTTCTAACCGGGTATAAGACGCCATTCGAATTTATTCCTTGAATTTGGATATTAACAAGCTAGATTGAAGATGACCGCGCGGATTACCGCCGGTCTTCTGAGATCCTGGTTTCGTTGGTATCAGAGTACAACTAACATCAGCTCCACTATCTATCATAGAAATATCAGTTATTATTACTATTACTATAACTATTATTATTATTACTATTAGTAATATTATTATTATTATTATTTTTAAAACAATTTTTTTCCTAATAATATTTTTTATTAGAAAATGCTTACCTTACTTCAATTCGAAAAATATTAAGAGATAAAGCATTTTATATTTTATTATAATTTTTTTGATCTAGTTAATGATGAAATTATTATGATCTTTTTTATATATGACATATATTAATGTATCACTTATGTTCACTGCTCCCCTCCCGCACAAAATTCTCAAAAACCTTAAGAATACATTTTGAATGATACCAAGTTAGAAAGAATGAATCTCAATTTATAGAGTCATAAACAAACTCAGGGCAAATACCCAACTAACCTCTCTTTTGGCCTGAATTTCTGACAAAATAAAATTATCACTTAAAAAGGTACATTGGGCTAGTCTATTTTAATTGTTAAAATGAGATTAAGAAGATAAAAAGATTATTTTCTACTTATTTATTTTGTTAAAAGTATTATTTTTATCAGGAATATAATATGTGTAAAAAGCGGGGAAAAAAATCCTTCTATCCCATTTTATATGACATCCTTTCCTTTTTAGTCCATCTCAAAAAAATTGTCACCCTAGCATAATTTAAAACATTTTAACTTTAAAATTTCACTTTTACCTTTAATGAAATGATTTACGGCTACAGAAAAATCTAAGCATTATTTTATATCATAAATTTTAAAAGTCTTTTTTTTTTAAAAATAATGTCAAGTCAAATGATGTCACATAAAATGAAACGAAAAGAGTAATATATTTATCAGGAAGAGGATCCCATTAGATGAATATGGGTAAAATTGATGGCTATGTATTATGGCACATACAAAGGATGAAGTTAGAACAAAATTTATTTATTAAATTTTCTATAGTGATTGGACTAATATTCTTGTAATAGAAATATACTTTTAGAAATTTCGTTGATTTCAACGTAATTGATTTGTTAAAGCAACATTATGGATTGATTTTCATACTAGTATAATATTATTAGTTTATATGTATTCAAAAATTATACTTATATAAAATTTATAATTTTTGTTGATATTCTTTGAAAATTTATGGACAAAATAACACTTGTTGTGAGAAACATAAATAACACCTTAGCATTGTTGGCAAAAATAAATTTAATTATGACAATACTTACTTTTGTTGCTAAATATTTTTAGAAGCCACAACTATATGACTTTTTACAATGAAATATATTTTATTATAATAATTTTATTGTTGTATTAAAATTAAGTTTTGACAACAATATTATTTGTTGTCGCGAAAGTTTTTGCAATGGAGTTTATAGCAGACGTGCAACAACTTTTTATCGTTGTCAATAGTACTTTTAACAACAACACTCCATATATAGCAACAATTTTTTTTTTTTGGTGAAATTCTTTTTTCTTATTAGTGTTCATCACAAAAGTCTTCATCTTGTGTAGCTTTAAGGATCAGGTTATTTTTCTCTTCTTCAGAGAGAATTCTTGGGGCATTAAAGTTTCCTTATCTCATAGAGTTTTTCTATTGACATTATTTTTAGGTATTTTGTTTCCATAATAACATTCATCTTGTTTTTTCAAAGTCAATGAACATGTTAATTCATGTATTCATGTTAGTAAAACAAAAACATAAAAGATGAAATAGACAGACACAAAATAATTAATTCGAGTCCACAGAACCCACTGTGTATCCTTAAGAAATTTAATCCCCTTAAGTATCCGAGGTTGTAGATTAATTCCTCTCAAGATAAAACAAATTAATTATTACAGAAGTAGCAGTACCTCAAACTTCAATAATTTCAGCGAACTAAAAGATCAGCAACGAGAGCACACACTGTAATATCCCGCTACTAGAAAGACTTGGAATTAGAAAGAAACCGTTTTTGGAAATAAGCAAATTTGGAAAGTTTGACAAAGTTAAGTATGAGTTTTGGGTCAACTTCAAACGACCATAACTCCTAGGTCAGGATAAGTTAGGTGTTCTACAAGATACCGTAGGAAAGATCTTTGAATTATATTTCCAACGCCGCCGAGTTTGCTCAGTTTCGAGTTCATATGAGGGAGATATGCCCATTTTGAAATTGGGTTGTTTAGCTAAGAAAAGTCAAAACCGGATTTTTGAAGGGTACTATGGTCTTTTCACTACCCAATTAATATATTTCGTTTTTGGTAATTACTTAGGGGTCTAAATTGAATTGGGTCAGTTTACGCACTCAAATATTTCACGCTAAGGTTTTTGGAGAAAGAACTCAAGAGGAGAAAGAAGAAGAAAAGTTCAAGATTCGTCAAGATCTTGCGATTTTGGTTGCGGATTTCGCCAAGGATTCAATCCTACGAGGTATGTGAGACTTTCATACATTGGGTTCGTTCACCCATGTTCCAAACATGTTTATTTCAGCGTGAAGTCGTCCTAAAAAGATTGGAAGTTTGAATGTTCTTGATGTTTGTTCTTGAATTGCTTTCGTTCTTGAATTTGAGTTGAGACTGAGGAGTTTTTTGAGGTTATAGTGTCGTTTCCTTGAGTTGTTTGAGGTAGATTCTTGTGTACATATTTTGGGTATCTGAATCTAAAGAGGAATTGAAAAAAAGAATAGAATTTAGGCGAATTAGGGTTAGAAAACAAAGAAGGAACACGTCGGGCA